AGTAGGGGTGAGCACAGTACCCATAAACTGTGTCATGGGAGTATTTCAGCCAAAAGTCCACGACGTTGTTCAGCTCTTTGCGAATCTTCTCTCGACACTCGTCCAGTTTCACCACAGACATGGCGCTCTACTAAAGGGAATGGGAAAAATTATATGTGAAAGAATAACCAATGACTGAACTGACTGTAAGCCGAAAATGTATTACAAATTATCTGTAGCTATAATGAGTCTGAGTTTGCACAGAGATCGTACCCAAAAACTACTCAATTGTGAAGTTGAAAATATTCACAGATTTTCTTGTAGGTTTTTAATAAAAGACAGGACATTAACTGCGCCATTAAAGTGAAGATAACTCGGCACACCACAATGCTAAAGCTTTGTCACATTTAAAGTTTATTGACGTTTAATGCAGAACTGCTTAAGATTTCTTTAATAGTTGGTGTACCAGCATTTGTTTTCACTTTTATTTGGGAAAGAAGAAGGCTGGGCAGACAAATAATTTGTGTTATTATAAATCTATGAAATACTATACAGTATATGATCAAATTAGTACTTCCTCTATAGGAGGAAAAAAAGCTACAAAGCTTTTATAAGAGCTGGCCACAGAGTGCTAAGGAAGGAAGGAAGGAAGGAAGGAAGGAAGGAAGGAAGGAAGGAAGGAAGGAAGGAAGGAAGGAAGGAAGTGTAACTGTCGTGATTTTAAGTTCATGATGTTCATGTATCGTTCCACATAGTGGTACAATGGCAATGTGTGCTGTGTACTGGGGACTCCACATTTGTTTGGGTTGTTGTGCCTCCTGTTGTTGTATTTAGGGATTGCATTGGGTGGCGGTTGCTTTCGATTGGGAGTGGCATCAGATAGTTTCAGGAAGGAGACACAAGCGTGAGGAGTATGCGTCGGGATCTTCGATTTGCTTTAGTTGCTCCTAAATTCCAGTTTGGAGGGCGAAACGGCGTGTGGCCATTCTTGATGTGTGTTTTGTGATTTTGGAATGCATGTGGGTGTGTTGTACGTTTTGTAATTGGACATTTTTGTCACAGTTTTCACTAAAAATGGTGTGGATCAGCGATGACGTCTGAAAAAAATAAAGGCTGTTGAACATTGGTCGACTCATCAAGTCTTCTCGACTAGAAGAATACCTTTAGGAGCAGTTAATGAAGGAAGGAAGGAAGGAAGGAAGGAAGATCAAGCTCTCGGCTATCAAATGACAGTACAGGTGTGTGTGTGTGTGCGTGTGTGTTTAGGTGTGTGTTTAGGTGTGTTTGCTCTCTTCTCATCTGTTGTGTTTCACGCATGCAGGCATGCTCCAACAGGTGTGTATCTAACATCGCAGTGAAAAGCCAAAAGGATTAGGGGATTACTTGCAATATAACCTAAGACACACACACTCAAACTCTCTCTCTTTCTCGCTCGCGCACACACACGCTCTCACTCACACACACACACACACACGCACACGCACACACACACACCCACACACACACACACACACACACACACACACTGTAAATGTACATATGAACATTGCACTTGAAACACAACACTATATCACTATATCAAATATAAATCATTTTACTCTAAAAAAAACTGCATCATTCGGTCGGCCACTGAAACAACCCATCCACTATGACTGTGAAATTGTAATTAGGTTTTTGGCCATTAAACCAAAGTTCTCAAAATGAAATAAGTACAACCCAACACATTTGGTAGAACCCCTTGAATCTGATGTCATACTATATTATCAAATATTGTCAACAATGTGGGCTTTTGATTGCAAATTAGATTTGTCAATGTGCATCACACGCCAACACAAAAAAATCGTTTGCAATTGAATTTAGTGTTGCAAAAATAAGTAGGTGCTAATCATGCCAGTGAATGTATAGCAAACAGGTTGAGCCCGGCCAATTGGCCCCGCCCCTGCACGTCACATGTAATACACTACCTTACTTTAAATTTATATTTCAAAGATTTATGCACACATATTTTTGACGGGATAAATGTAACTAAACCATCCCTGCACTTAAATCCCGCTGTAATCTGCCATCATTATGCCGTTGGCGTCTCTGCATTCAGAGTTGGCGAAGTTCCCGTGACTCGGCTGGATATCCGGATTTATTTTTTTTGTTTTGCTTGTTTATAAACAATAACCACAGGTAAGCGATCTGCGTTTGAGCATTACGCGCACTCTTAAGAACTAGCGTGACAACTCGCTGCTCGACGCGTTATTTACCGCTAATCTGACGTGCTTCCGCTTGAGCTCGACTTTACGCTAGAATCAAACACAAAACGTGCATTTGAGAACCGAATCTTTACCTGCTGCCGAGATCGCAGGAGTAGGGGTGGAGTGGAGCTCAGCAGCAGGGGGATCCAGCCTTCTCTCTGCGGCTCCGTACTCGTCGAGGCTGTCACATGATGACGCAAAACAAGCAGAAGCTGAAGACGTCCCTGTGTCATGAGGATCGGAACAAGGCGATTCGAAGCAGAAATGGACAGAGGAAAACAAGTAAAAGGAAGCACGTCATGGCTTTTTTTCTGGCAGATGTGTGAAGTACAGAATCGAAGAATTGTATTTCACTCTTCTTAACAGCATATACGCAGCAATCCATGGGCGCAGATGCCACTTCTTTTACGATTAGGACACTGCATTGTATCTCAAATGAGATATGCAGCTATAGACTTGTGCCACTTGCACGATCGCGACAGTAAACATTAAGCTCGTTTGCAGTTCTGGCGAGTTAGAGCTTTACTTCAAGGAGACGAGCTGATCTGATAGTTTACTCACTTCAAACACAATATTTAATCGTGGTGCTGAGTTAAACACTTCCAAGAGTCAACAATATTTCGATGAACGGGGCGGATGAATACAAGTCTGCAACTACTGACAGGGAATAATTAACATCTAACATTAATAATGGCAGCCGTTTTTCTCAAATTGGGAGGGCCGGTGCCAGCCATTTTTGACTATTTGACAAATTTTGGAAGGCCTACAGAAAATTTAGTTCTGTAGCGAATTAAGCATGGAGCTTTAACCTTCTTTAATCAGGAAAAGAAAGTACTTTCTACCTTTTACCATTCGTTAGTAAACAGCAGTGGTTGGTAAGTTTCTTGAAGATACTCGTTTGCAAGAAAAAATCTGAGAAAAACCTTTTGGTGAAAGGATCCATTTCAAGCTGAACTTTCACTTTGATGCTATTTATTTGTGGTACCTCAAATGTCTAAACAAAGCTTTCCTACTAAATAACATAACACAAAAATCGCACTTTGATTGCAAAATAACAGTTTATTGCAAAAAACAAACAAAAAAAACGCACAGATGCTGAATTATGCATGTTGAATTTTATCCATGTTCTCATTCGAACGGCACCTCGCCACAGGGGATCTTGTACTGTACAACACACACAGCACGCACGCACACGCACGCACGCACGCACGCACGCACGCACACACACACACACACACACACAAGTGTGGCCCAAGGTCTGATCAAAGCCACTCCTGCCATCTAGTGGTGATTTATCATACTGAAATCATCTGAGGAGCTGCGTGAAGCCTTTAATCAATATTAAAAAAAACACACACACCAAAAACGCATCTTTTAGCTGTAGTTCCTCAGGTACACAAGTCGGTGAGGTTGGAACTTCTCACGGCACAGGGGGCACTCGGCCTGAATGAAGTCATGCAAACCCAGACATACACAAGGGAATAATTACAACAGTACACACACTGAAGCATCAATTCTGAGTAGTTTTTGGTATCAGACTCACAGCAGTGACTAATGACAGTATGAAGAACGAACATGCTTACATTGATTTCAGTCCGCAGGGAGAAGCATTTATTCATGCAAACTGCATAAATGTATCTTATCAATGTTGAATTAAATAAAACATGTTTTACTGTCAGCTAGTTTGACCTGATCAGTTAACAATATGGTATTGTGAAAACCTTAAAATGGCAGACATGAGGTGTATTTTTGCAGGGTATAAAATAACTGGTATTTGTATTGGGAGATAAATTTTTGTCCAGATCGCACGCCTCTTAATTGATTTCTATCTGTCTCTATTGAACGTTTAAACGGTGACATTACCACAAATTATGATCCCATTGCACCAGTATGATTTCAAACTCATCGTAAAACATTTATTTCCCTTAAAATAAATGTGTTACAACAATGTGACTTTGACAAAATGAATGTACATCTAATGTCCATTAAAAATTTCGGCTAAATGTAACTACCTCCGAAGCAGTTAATTATTCAGTGTATAGTTAGCTACATTTGTCAATGAAAAGCTGAGGATAGGTTACAGAGAAACACCCCTGAATAGGCAACGTAACATCGGATGTAATTTGACCCCTAAATGTGTGGGCAGGTACTCCACAGACTCAGTTATTTACAAAATCCAACATGTAAGTGATTGTCATGATGGCTCTGACATGGGCCCTACCTTGGTGTTGCACCACTCTGTGATACACTCCCAGCAGAAAAGGTGTCCGCAGGGGGTAGAAGTTGAATGTCTGCGCTCCTCCAAGCAGAGGATGCAGCGGGTGGGCGAGGACCTTGACTTCTGCGTTTCCTGTGGACTGAAAAAGTATAACAGCTTGCTGGATCAAGGTGCCAAACAGAGTGATCATTTGCCATCTTAACAATGGACAGTCAGAGGAACACACCACGCCCCATCCATTGCCTTTGGATTATTACACACTTCTGTGGTTCTTAAATAAAATTGTATTACAGGTATTTACATTTTTTATGTTGTAGCGTGTCACACAGTGAAACATTGCTGTACTGACCATATCTGGACCTTTCTGCAGATCCTCACCAAAATGTAATGTGTACTCGTTGGCTCAAGCAGCTCCCCTCAGCAAAGTTTTGGGGGAGTGAATTTTGAATCTTATTTTCACGCTAAACAAACTGCATTGTGAGAAGCAAAGCCATCTTCTCACCACATGCGTATTAGTTTACCCGTCGGTGAGGTTCCTGAAATGTTTCCACTCCTGCCTGGCTCGCTGTCTTTGTCTAAAGTTGTTGAGCTGCAGACACACTGTGATGAGCAGCTGGATGAGGGAGACGGCTCCCAGCAGCCTGTAGCTGTTCCTGATGGTCCCATCATCATCATCCTGAGGCCCTGAAACACGCAGCTGCGCACGCACACGCGCGCGCACACACACCATCAGTCCATCATGTCCTTTTAACTGCATTTCTGTCATTGCATCCGTCACCAAATTTCACTGGTCCACCAGTCCGTCAGTGTCTCCCCCCTGTCCCCAAACACACACACAGACACGCACACAGACACCCACACACAATTATTGATAAATGATTCTAAGTAAGCAGTCAATGTACTTTTTATAACTATAAAGGAAAAACAGTCCCTTCCTGTTGCCATGGGTGTCATTTCTTCATTACAGGGTTAATGGAAAGTGTTTTCCTGCCTATTTCTGAAAATGTCTGTGAGGGAGATGTGCACTTTGGAATATTATGAATATAAATCACTTACATAGCGGATTGCAGAAGTCCTCTTGGACAGTTGATAGAAAATACCACTGACATAAAAAAGAGCCACGTGAACTCTGTGCAGGAGGGTGAGTGTCTGCTGGAGGACAAATACAGCAGGCAAACACTTTTTCCTTTGGGGCTCTGACAGCAGTCCCACTGCATTTCGTATGCACCTCCTCAGCCACAATTCCAGGCTCCACGGCCCAGACGCAGCCTGCCGACGTCTGACAGCGCAGCTGGGCTCCTGTGTGCCTTCGAGCTCGTTCTCCAAACAGATCAAGATCTTGTCCAAGAAGTAGGGCAGGAATGTATGACAGAAAATAAAGAGGCCTCGTCTGGCTAGGGAAGGGATGCGTCTTTTACTTGGGTCAACTTGGATGATATTGACATACTCCTCACCCAGGGTCTGGTTACCTGACAAGGATGGTAATCGATGAATTAGGGGTGGGTGATTGTGAGCATAAAATAAAACCTCCAATTGTTTTCGCACAAAAAAGAAATGTTGATTTGAACTGACCACTGTACATGCATCACACAAAGTTGGACTTTTGCAATTATCTCAGCACACTTAACAAAGCAGACATATAGCAGTGGTGACAGACATTTCGCACCAGTTTGGTCAGCCCACCTATGAGTGTTGTTAAACCAAAATATGAGATGTCTGAAAGAAGCTCAACTTCTTTCCTCCAGTCCAGCCACCTTTTCGATCCTACAGAAAAGGGAAAATGTTTAACAAACTTATGACTGCTGAAACCGTTTCCAGTGTTGATACAGTTGATATCCCTGTGCCAAAGCATTATGTTGCATTGACCACGTTTCACTGTATAGTGTTCTTTTAATGACTAGCAGTGCTGTGCTTCTACTGTAGTTCGTTCGCCACGAAGGAGAGGCAAAATTGAATACAAGATTGCTTATAAAAGTTGGCATCCTCCTGAACTGTTTGGTCTTTGATGGCATACACCTCTTTCCTGAAACGTTTTAATCAAGCCAATAGACATGTAATGTAACCATGTAAAGAACCCTAGTTTCCAAAAGATATCTTAACACAAACGACCCGAGTCTTGTGTTACCATTCGGAATGAACTCACCGGCAAGTGTTTGAAAAGTTTCATTAGCGTTGTTCCTAAGGAAGGTCTGGTAGTATTCGTCCTTCTGACCAGCTCGAATTAGCTGCCACTGGTTGGCAGGAGGGAGAGGCATCGTGACTTACAATGCCAGTGCACAAGTGTGTGCCGGAATCTTTCATGTAACAAATATACATTTACACGATAACTTTTCTGAACAGTCGTTAATGCCAGTGTGCCACTCCGACATCGGGGACAGGAAACTCGCCGGAAGTGGGAGATATGAAAACAAATAGGAGCCCAGACAATAAAAATCATGGTTCTACTTTTCACAGCGCCGTTCAGTGGTTATTCTAGGTATTGCAACACCGCATGCCATTCTTCAGGTAAGGTGCACTTAATATAAATACTGTGTACTGTAGTATAAAACATAGAGAATGTGCACTTTACTTTAGTAAGCTGTTTCTGTATCCATACTATGGCCTTTCATGCCATCTGTAGGACATTTTATTATGACGGCTCTTCCTGGTGACAAACAAAAGTCGACGCTTCTGCGATGGCGCTGGTAGCAAACAAACACTTTTATCATTTGACGAAGGCAGAGTTATTGAGAAAACAGTCATGTAGTGAATGAATGACTATTGTATTGTAGGGGAGTGGTCTATGAGAAGTCTGCTTTTGGTCGTTTGAAAGCGTGAAATTGTCACCTAAACAGAAAATGCCATCCTGCAAATTTCCTCATTGTGGAACTAAAAAAGGACTTATCTCGAGCAAAAACGATTATTACTAACAGTTATTAGGAGCACAATTTAGCCACCAACATTTAAAAAAATAACTAGACCCGGAGACCTGAAAAACAAACAAACAAAACATAAATAAACACAGTCAAATAGAACTTGAATACAAATTTTTTTGTATTTCTTGCTGTTATTGCAATTACA